CAAGAGATAAGTCCAGTTGCTGGGCGTGTGTGCTACTGGCAACCAGCACTGAAATACCCCTGAACACTGGCATTTAAACATCACCTCTAGACCTGACAGATTTGGTGTGCGGTGTTCCCTTGTTTCACATCTCCCTCCTGCCCCCAGCAAACACAGTTACTGGGCAAAATATTTTTTATTTTGAATTCTGGTCCTACTTCTTTGGTGGGTGGGGAGGGTGCTGGCGGGGGACACCAGGACCTCTCCTGGTTCACGCACAGTGCCAGTGCTTGTTTTCCCATGCAAGCGGGAAGAGCATTGAGGGATCATCACATGCTAAGTGCCAAGAGTTAAATCCACTTTGTCCCTAAAGATGTCGCAGTCATTTCAGACCATTCTGCATTGTTGCAGCATGTGCAGAGAGGACAATGCACTTTGATTATTTTTAAAACTCTTTTGTGGATCCATGACAGTATAAATCTCATTGTGATATCTGAGGCTCTAGGACAGCAGCTAGGAACTGCTGGTATTTTTTAGCACAGCTGTAGCTAAACTTGTTGCGGTAAGCTTCCTCCATGTGCTAGACAGACCTTCTACTGACTTTCAGAGGGAAGACTTCAGGATAAGGAGACTACGCATTCAGCCTGATTTGGCTGGCACACTGATTAGGGAGAAAAATATCCTGTCCACACAGCTTGGGGGAACAGTGCTGAGGCCCCACTGGCAGTAGCAATCACATTTAGTACAGTTGTATTTCCATTACACAGAGAGTCTTCACTCCAAAATTTATGTACAGCTTAATCCGATTATGTTTCTTCCCCATTTCTGCCTGACAAACTGTACTTGCTAGGCCCCTGGCTGGAAATCCATGCTAATCAACTTAAGGCCTAGTAGATAAAGCAAAGTTTTTTTCTCTGTGTTGTCAGCAAACCACATTTCATGACTATACTCGAGCCTCCGCTTGCTAAGGTCACTGGCATATTCTTGAAATCCAGGAGCAAATAACAAGGACAGGAAAAAGCTGCAGCTTGAGCGAAGACAGAAAATGCCAGTGGAGCAGCTCACGCCAGGACTGGAGTGTGGGAGGCATGGCGGAGGCCAATGGCTCTATGCAAGGTTTATGCAAAAATGACTTTGTCGATGGGTTTTATCCGCCTGTACACAAATGAGAGTTTTGATTATTTTAACCACAGAATTTTGTTCCCTGCATCAAGCAAACGAAATACTCAGCAACTGCCAGACTATTAAGCAAATGGTATGAGATGTATTGATTCTGCAGAGGTAATGATCTTACATTTTTACATAACGCCTTTCAGGCTTAAGTATCCCCAGGCACAACTATGAATTGCACCTATGAAAAAAGCACTTCAGGAATGAAACACCACAACTGCCTGAGAGGACATTCCACCATTAAAGAGGGTGCAAACAGCAGAAAATCAAAAAACACTTTTCCCAGACAAAATTCTTAGTAACATTTTGGATAGGGTCTAAATACAATAACCAGATTAGATATTAGATAGCCATGTCTTAGAAAAGGTGGAACAAGTACTGAAACACCTATCAAAACAGTGAATTTCTTTGTCATGAAGTATGCCACACAGCTGATGCAGCAAAAACCTGCTGTACAAACAAGTGCCTAGTTAATGTATAACTCTACTGAAAGTTTTGGCTTAAAACCTGGCTGTTGACAAAAGCAGTTTGCCAAGACATCAATTTTCTCTCTCGTTGGAAAGCTAATGCTTCACATGACAATGTCACTCGTAATCGAATGGTGCCTCTGCTGACACAGGCAGCAACCACGGCATCTGAGCCATCAACACCACTGCAGTTCCCACTCCTCTACCTCCCACCCAATTTCTAATCTGTGACCAACCTTCTTCACCAAAGATCACACCTCAAATCCTGTCCTCACTAAAGGTTTTCTGCTTGCCCTCAAGCAAGTCATGTCACTATTTTGTGTCTCATATTCTTGCCTGAATATGGACATTCCTGACATTTTGAGTGTTTCCTAGGGATACAGTTCTTCTGAATTTCAGAGAACTTCACAGAGAATGGATCTAAGCACCACGTGAGGACTTTCATCAGCAGAAGGGCAAGAGGAAGAGAGGGGAAGGTTAGAACAGCTTCGATCCTTCTCCTCCTCATGGGAAAAACCTGTGATCATTCTTAAAATGACTTGAGGGTAAGAGCAAAGGCTCAGAACTAAACCTCGCCCTGGACCTACGGAACAAGTCGTGTCTCTGCTGAGGGAGGCTGCTTACCGCCGGAGCGCGCTTGTCAGTTCAGCAGTCAGTTCGCTCTCGTTGTACGGTCTCAGCTCAGCTAGTGTTAACGGTGTGGCGGTGCCGTCACTGCATTCCTGAGAAATGAGGAAAGGCCATCTTATTTGAAGTTGTTGCTTCCCATCTTAATGGGGAAACTCTGAAAACATCTTCGTTCACAGCTGCTTTTAAAATGGAGGTGTAATAAACAT